TGTAGCAATACAATATGGGGAGGATAAGCCATGCTTGAGGATCTGCTGCTAGCAGTCACCCCTGCACTGTTTTGGATACATGTAGCAATACAATATGGGGAGGATAAGCCATGGTTGAGGATCTGGTGCTAGCAGTCACCCCTGCACTGTTTTGGATACATGTAGCAATACAATATGGGGAGGATAGGCCATGGTTGAGGACCTGCTGCTAGCAGTCACCCCTGCACTGTTTTGGATACATGTAGCAATACAATATGGGGAGGATAAGCCATGGTTGAGGACCTGCTGCTAGCAGTCACATTAGTATTTCATTAACAAGCAGCCAACTATCAGAAGTATGTAGACCAATGTTTACCTTGATGACTAAATCACATCGCATTTATCATCAATAAAACTTATTTTCTTTGATGTTGTGGCCATCTATCTGAAAATGCTCATTGCCTGGCTGCTGCTGACCTGAACACTTTCTGACGCAGAGCAAGCATGCAGCAAGTCATGATCTGCATACAGTTCATACGGTAGGTGGCAAGACAACTAGAATTTTCAGAGAGGTTAGCTTTGGTAAGCACTATATTTTTTACGCACAGGCTTCTTTCAAAGCAGAACTCCAGGCAAAAATGTTCTTAACCCTTGCAGTGGGGATATTCCTGCACTCCAAGGGTTGCATGCTTGTTTTTGTCTAGGTGTTAAAACAAACCCAAAAAAAACAGATCTCTGCAAAGGACTCGTAAAATACCCATGGTTCAGTATTTAGCAGGTACCTGACCAATGCAGGATTTATTGTACAGTTAAACTGGGGTTTTAAGTGAGGTAAAGAGATTGGTTGCAGTGCAAATCTGCTCCGGATTTTGTCTGCTAAAGTTTTGATAAATTCCCCCCATTATTTCCTAACAGCTGACTGCAACTTTCTCAACTCAGCTTCCCTGAACTTCCTGTTGAATACAAAAATTACAAGGAGCAGAGTAGTCTCCAGCAACTGTCCATCTACTAGCTTGGAGAAAGAAGAGAGGAAAGAGAGGGTAGTAGGGGTAGAAGAGTGGATTGCCTTGCTCTGCCTGTATTTGTGAAGACACACAGCTTACTAGCACACACAAAGGTGGCTCCATAGGATACTGCAAGGGAAAGGAGCCAGCCCAAAACAGGATATCAGGACCAGTGCTCAGGGGACCAGCTTATTCTGCAGGACAACAAAAATCAAGGATCAGCATCCACTAAGTGATTTAATCAGCATTTGAAATACCTTAAAAACCTTTTGACTTCTTTTTTTTTAAATTGTTGCTATTAGGACATCCAACTTTTGCCTGAGGTTGTTCTCTTTCTTTAACCCCTTCATGACTGAGGCCCTTTTTTCAATTTTTGCACCCATGTTATATTCCACATTTTAGGCCTAAGTTTCGCCAGTCAGCGATGGAGGATCGGACAGGGGAATCACTGCAGGGAGCCGTGAGTGACAGTCATGGCTCTCTGCAGGGACAGGATCGAGAAGTGAGCGACCGACAGTATGTGTTCGCACACTTCCCGATCTGTGACAGTTTCATTGTCACAGGTCGGCTCCGATTAGGAGGCTGAGTTAAAATCACAAGCCTCATAATTCTCCTTTAACTATTTCATTAATGAATGCCTCAGTACTGAGGCACTCATTAATGAATGGTAACCACTGAGAATCAGCAGTTGCTGGCATTACAAAGCCTTAAATAACTCGTCACGTACAGTGTACATGGCCAGTCATACAGGCACTTTGTGACAGGACGTACAGTGTACATCTCCCATCACGAAGGGGTTAAAGGCACAGTCCACCTTAGTGGCCATGTTTCATGTTACAGCCATAGTTAGGGAGCTAAAGTGTAAACAATGCAGGAGCCTGTGCATTGCACCCATGTGCGGATATCGCGGTTGCAATGCTCTACCCATGCCACAGCGGTTGCAATGCTCTGCAAGCTTCAACACAAAAATGTAATAAATGCACCTTGTTGATTATATTAATGTGGGTACATTGATAATCCTTGCAAACAGGTGGACTACGCCTTTACGGCACATTTGAATGGGCATCCTCACGCATTAAAACGGGTGTAAAAGCGCCATTTTTAGCAACACAACACAAATTCCTCTGATCCTATAAATGAAGCTCCACTTCAATGAACTCATCATTTAATATAAAACAGTATAAATAGTGCAGTGCTAGCCTTACTTATCATATATAGACACACATACAAACATCATACGTGTCATCCAACTATGATAAATATAAATGGCGCAGAAGTGTGCGTCCGCAAGGTGCGTTAGGGTGGCATGTGAAAAATGGTACCTCAGCAGTGCACACAACGTGCAGGCAATGCGTTGTCTCCACAGAACAGTGTGAATGCGTCCTGAACGATAAAGCGACCGTTTTCTCTAGGATATCCTGGTTGCTTGTGGTGCCGATCCTCCGGCTTCAATAGCATGCGCCTAGTGAAGCGGGACTTCCCAAAGTGCGTATTTAGTTCAGGACGGTAGGCTTAGTTTGCAAAGCCATAACAATTTATTTTTAGCTACAAAAGGGTGAAACGATAAACCACATGGCTGAAAAAATAACAATCGTTGTGGCAAACGCGCGCTCTATAGAGAACTACCGACCTGGACCAAATAAGCGATTCGTGAATTCCCGCTTTGCTGGGCGCATGCTGCTCCCGCCTCAGGAAGCCAGGGACAGGGCGGAGGGGCAATGTGAGAATCCGCCAACCAAAAAAGGCGTAAAATGAAGGTTTCTAAATAACACAAAATTGTAAATATAAAAAGGCAAAACAGGAATATCTGAAGTCAGGAAAGGGAGCCAGCTTGCAGCTGTGCTTTATAGGAGCCATTTTTACCCACAGAAGATTTGACTTCGCACACCAATACAACCACTCACACGTAGCTAATAACGAACGATACGTTAAAACAAAAAAACAGAAAGAAACGAAACCACACACACAGTAGCCGGCGTTAATTCGGACCAGTCACTTATACTCAGTTCCTAATTCATGAAACACAACACAGATACATTCCCCCACCAAGAGGGTCTTCGTTCGGAGTTTCCACCTTGTGCGAGTCCTCTCCTCACGTGGGGTCCACCTGTGGTAATTAAACCCCTCCGCAGCGCGCAGTGAACAGGCGGGCTGCGCAGAGCGCAGGACATTGTGGACTTTGTAGTCCGACGGCCTGAGTTTAACACGGAAGATGCAAGCGGGAGAACTACAATGCCTGCGCACAAGTCACCGGACGCGCGGCAGCCAATCGGCTTCCGAAAAGCTGCTCCGCGCACCATGGAGTTTCTGCTTGGTCACGTGGGACGCGGAGTATGGCCTACGCAGTGTTTGTGGTCAGCGTCCTGTGTTGGCGTGTTTCTATGGAGGGGGGGAGCAGTATTAATGGCGTTTATAACGTTAAGAAGCTGTGCTGACAAATGCATTAGAGCCAAGACATGAGGGCTCCACTGTGTGCCAACTCTCTATAACGCAAAGTTAAAGTAATATGAAGTGGGCCTTCACTGTCCTCACCTACTTCCCCAGAATAGCAAGCAAAAAATAAATACCTTTTTTTTATGCACGTGGCCCCTAATCCCCAAGTTTCTGGGATACTTCTGGTGAGCCACCGTGCGTCTCTTCCAGGACCTTGCAGCCAGCCCCTTGATGACTGGATGCATGCTCATCAACCGTACCATCTGTAGCACACCTGCAGTCACTGGCTATCTCTTGTAGCTCACCTGACGTTTTTAAACCATCTCTTTTGGCACACCTGCAGCCTGACCATCTCTTGTAGCATACCTGCAGTCACTGGCCATCTCTTGTAGTACTCCTGCAGTTTTAAACCATCTCTTGTGGCACACCTGCAGTCTCTGACCATCTCTTGCAGTTTACCTGCAGTCTCCGGCCATCTCTTGTAACACACGTGTAGTTTTTAACCATCTCTTGTAGCACACCCGCAGTCTCTGACCATCTCCTGCTGCATGTCTGCAGTCTTTGACGACTCCTTGTAACATTATAGCCAGTGATGGGTTCTCAACCAGTGGCACGTGTGCCCAAACATAACTGTACTATCTGACCACCTCCTTGCTGCATGTCTGCAGTCTCTGACAGCTTTCTGTAATACTATATTCAATTAATATTGTGTGTATGGCCCTTTGGTGACCTCAGGGGCTTCATTTAATGCTCCTTATATCACGTAAGTTGACCACCGCTGCCATAGACTATGGCTTGTTAACCAGTGGCATGTGTGCCCGCAAGGGGTGCTTTTGACAGGTTCACAGGGGACCTTGGCTTGTTAAGGTAAATGTCTGGTAATAGTAGTCCAGATCAGAGGTTCTCAACCTGTGTAACCTCAGGACCCACATTTGTCCTTGGTCATTAAGTCGTGACCCAAGTCGCAGCACACTGGTACGCACGGCATTGTGATACCGTGCGTTCCGGTGCGGGCAATAAAACTTAGGTGCTTTTGGGGTGCAAATCGAATGAATGGCAATGCAACACACCTCCTGCACCAGAATGCACAGAAAGTGCGATTGCGTGGCACAGTGCATTATGTGTACATGTGGTTGTGTGTGAGATTGTGTCTGTGGTTGTGTGTGTCTGCCAGTATATTTGAGGGTCCGTTCACACTAGTACAGTGTGTTAATCACACAGTCCCATATGATTAATGCACTGTACCATGCAATTGCACCTACTGCGCATTCTGGTGTGGAAGGAGTTTTGCGTTGCCATTCATTTGAATGACACCCCAAACGCACCTCCAGCCCCCAGTCCAATAGCCTGCACTCGAATGCCCAATACTGCAATGCCGTGCATTCCATTGCAGTGCAACTTGGGTCGTGACTTAATGACCAAGGACAAATGTGGGTCCTGAGGTTACACAGGTTGAGAACCACTGTTTTAAAGTATATCTTGTCTGCCTTGTGGGGTAGTCGTTTGTTTTCCTTCTTCCCTCTTTAACCCCTTCAGGTGTAGGGTTTACCACTGTTGCTAACAAACACTTTTGTTTTCTTTCAGAGACCCGGAATGCTTCCCGGAGGACGAATGCCAGTTCCGGGCATGCCGGTCGGTTCGCCTATGATGCCAGGATATGGTGCAGGTTCTCCCATGAGGCCTGCAATGAACCCGATGTTGATGGAACCATTTAGAAAGAGAGTTATGGCCCCACAAGGACATCCTTATCTGGGCTCCCAAAGGAGGGGGTAAGTTATGCAGATGTTCTCTACATTTTCCATTTTATTTAAAGCCCAATTCCAGTTTTGTTTTGTTTTGGACAAAACAGAAGAATTTAAAATCTTCTTTTAAGTTCTGTCTGTGATCCAACTGCAGATCATTTCGTGTCCCAGTGATGACCGTTGAAGAAATAGGGGGTCTAAGTCTAAACTGAGACAGGAAGGCACAGGCAGCAATAGGAAAAATACAAGTAATATCTTTTCCTTAGTCTGATAAAAATGCCTGGGTTTTGTCTTTGAAATGAAGTGTCACTATCACTTCCTGACCTGGCAAAAGGTGAGGGGAAAGGTATCTTACATGCTAGTGTTCTTTTTTTGACATATGCTGTCTCTCATTATGCAAGCGCTTCCGGGGCCACGCAGGGTCCCCTTTGTCAAGCTCAGAGATGACGAGGACTCTGCGTGGCCCCCGAAAGCGCTTGCATAATGAGATACAGCATACATTAGTAAATGAACACTTTGCTGTAATCATTGATTTAGTGTGCTGGTGACATTTTTCAACTATCTACATGATGCGGCGCCATCCGCAGTCATTTCAAGCTCCCTCCAGTGCATCCATATGGGAATTCCCAGAGAGGAGTGCAGCAAGGATCTTCTTTTAGGCCTTGTTCACACCAAGCGCGTTCCAGGAGCAGAGCAGTTACAGACCGGATCAAAACTGCGTCCAATGTATTCCAATGGTATTTTGGGCTCTAGTTCACACCGCAGCATTCAGTTCCAGAGCATGTAAAAAAAACTGCAGCAAGCCCTATTTTACCTGCTCTGGAACGCATGCAAACACACTGGAACGCACTGAAAGTTATTTTAAAAACGGCCTGGAACGTATCAAAAACGCGGCACAACCCACTGCACTGCGTGTGCAGAAACTCATGCAGATCTGGTCTACATTTGGTGTGAACAAGCCCTCAGGTACCTAACATGGACATAGTCAGCAACAAAAACATGACATTGGCTCTAACCCTTTCCTGCTCTAAACAGAACAAAATTCATCTTTTGCCTGGAGTTAGGCTTTAATGTTTTCGGAAATTCTATAACATTGAATGATGTCCCCCAGCTTTATCCATGCTTAATGTATGACATGTTCTTTTTTTAGAATGAAGAGGAGGAAAATGGCTGACAAGGTTCTGCCCCAGAGGGTACGTTATGGATCAATGCTGCTGACATTAAAGGGAGAATTTTAGCTTAAGTGATACGAGATAACTTCAAGATCAGTGCTGTTTCTTCCGGTAATCTGTAGAGAGAAGCAGAAAAGATGCATTTTTATTTCATCTGGCTTTTCATCTGCACAAAGGAAATACATCTTATCCAATCACTTATATCTCGTATATGCTTTCATATGCTAATATCATTTTGCCGTTCAATAATTTTTATTGAGTTTTAGAGCATGTTTACATTAAGACAACCAAAGTTGGTAACCCAGCATAGAAAGCATATTATGTATTAAAGGTAATTGTCGTACATATGTACAGCAGTAGAATAAAATATGTACATAGTCTTGGCTCACAAGAGCTTTGGCAATCATCCAGAGAATGTATTCATCAAAGTCACGGATCCGCTGATCATTCAGCTCAGGGTCTCCTCGCGGCAGGGAGCAGTGACTGTCAGTCATTCCTCCCTGCATGGATTCCCAATCCACTTACTGTTCCTCCAATGTTTATTGGAGGGACAGACAATGGAAGGGGCAGGCACAGCTGGTTCTGGCTCTAGAGAGCCAGCTGTCAATCACGCAGCTGGGTGGATCCTGACAATTTTGTCAGGATCCATCCTGGGTGCGCCACTGAGCTGTCAGCATTAAGCGGGCAGTAGCTGACTTTGGGTCACAGGATTACCTTAGTCCGGCCTTTCTCAGCAAGGGTGCCGTGGCACATTAGGGTGCCTTCGGGCTTCCTCAGGGGTACCTCAGATTTTTCTTTTTTTCCAGCACCATGGAAACCAATGATGCTAATCCAGAAAGGGTAGTTCTTCATTCAAGCCTGCTCCACCTCTCGCCGGCTCCTGATATGAAGGGATGTGAAGAAAAGGCTTCTGATATGAAAAGGGGGCTCCTAATGTGAAGGGGGACTCTGATGTAAAAGGGGGGGTACTGATGTGTTTTGCATGTGTTATCCCCTTAAAATGGTTGGGGTTTTTGTGACACGTCATTTTTGTTACATTTATGTTATTGAAATTTAAGACTGGGCTGCCTCGAGATTTTGTATACTGTTAAAGGGTGCCGTGTCTGAAAAAAGGATGAGTAACGCTGCGTTAGTAAATGTACTCCTGCAACCCCGAAGAGAAGTAAAGCCAACAAAAGGTTTGGCTTTACTTCTCTTTTAAGGGGTGACAACTAGGGTTGCCACTTTTTCTTTCAGCGAAAACCCAAACACTCTAGCAACGCATAGAACTTTTTGGGGGAGAATGAGTCGCGGTTTGTTCATATGTAAATATCACAGTCAAGACTATTTTCAGTGGGGGGCCAGTAGCCCCTATATTAATTTTGGTTGCCCCTGTCTGCCTGACATCATGTGTCCGGGTCTCAGCTGCCATGAAACCCGGACACAGCATTCAAAAGCCGGACTGTGAATACCGTACAGGTGGCAACCCTATTGACAACTCCCAATTGTGCTCCGAATATGTCACTCTGCAAATGTGTTCTTGTTAGAAACTAAACGAGGCTGTACCAAAACACACATGCATGGTCCACTGTTGTCACTATTAGAAAGCTCATTCAGAACAATGATGTGTAGCCGACCCTGGAGACAGTGCATGTAGAAAGGAAGTGGCAGAAGGAGATGCAAAAAAATGATGAAATGAAGTAAAGCATTTGTTTGTGAAATATAGTGCTTTAGCAAGCTAAATATCATTGAGTTAGGGTTTAGATCTACTTTTAACCCTGAAATAGGGATCCGCTATTTCTTGATAGTATGATATGTTTCACGTTGAAAGACTAACATTACATTTCGTTACTTCTGTTGTCCTGTACAGATCCGAGAATTGGTCCCCGAGTCACAGGCATACATGGACCTCTTAGCTTTTGAAAGAAAATTAGATCAGACGATTGCCAGGAAAAGGATGGAGATCCAGGATGCCATCAAAAAACCCCTGACTGTAAGTACTTGTCGATATTGTGAATTAGGAATTTACAAGAAAACAAACTTTGCTGGCAACAAACACATCCACTTCCTGTATTCTAAGTGAATGCAAATTTTCTTAGAGGAATACTGGCAAGTATGCAACAGCAGTCAGATGAAGCACATATGGCTGTTATACTTCTAGTTCCCTGTTTTCTTTTTAATCAGAATGCTTGTAAACAAGTAGAAGTGATTAAATATTTAGAGGATACATAGAGTGCTAGGGAAAGTAAAAGCTACATTTTGGGTGTCATGTTGCAGTCCCTGAATGTTACTTGTAAATGTAAGTTATGTTCCCTCGGGTACCAGAGAATCTTTTGTTTACATATTGTTGCATTCTCCTCTCCTGCTCTTATTTTGCATCATGTTCAGTGTATAGCAATATCAAGATTAGATGAAGAAGGGCCCACAATGGGCCTAAGGACTTGTTCACACCATATACAGTGCGTTCCAGTGCATTTAGCTGCTGAAACGCACTGTATCACATAGTAAACCCCCCCCCTGCATTCTGGGGCGGGAGGGGGCGTAAAGTTGCATTAAAGTCAATGGCATCGCAGCCACGCCCCACCGCCTGCAGTGCGATTGCCCGCACCAGAATATGCATCACATCAGTGCCTGCGTTGCGGCCCAGTGCGATCGGAAAAAAATAGTGCATGCAGCATATTTTCTGATTGCACTGGATAGCAACGCAGGCACTGATGTGCCACGCTTTCTGGTGCGGGCAATCGCACTGCAGGCGGTGGGGCGTGCCTGCGGTGCCATTGACTTCAATGCACTGTCACGCCCCCTCCCGCCTCAGAATGCAGGGGGCAGTTTACTATGTGATACAGTGCGTTTCAGCAGCTAACGCACTGTATATGGTGTGAACAAGCCCTGAGAATTATGGGGCCCATTCACAAGATATGTAGGTTGGGCAGGTGCTGAGCCACCTCCCGCTGCCACATAGACTTGGACACTTCTGGGGTCAGTGAGAAGCAGGAGGCATTCTTCATGATGTCCTAATCATCACAGAAGGGCCCTTTGCTGAGTGTATTGCCATTTTTTTATCTTTATCTTTTTTATCTAATTTTTTTTTCTCAAATATAGAACAATACATGTTTTTCTGTCCTATATCCACATTCCTGTTTGAGATAACAACTCTGCCTCTGCTGCATTGAAATCCCAAGCAGTGTTGTCAGACACAAACCTCTCTCCTCATCTTCATAACACAAAGGGGAGGCGTCCTGTAGTCCAACACGGAGAACTGAGCAGGACTGATAACACTGCTTGGGATTTCAGTCCAGCAGAGGCACCATATTGTTAAGTTAGAAGCTCCTTGGACTTCTGTCAGGATCAACAGGTATTTTTTGTGTACTCTGTGTTTTTAAAAAGGCTAAACGTGGGGAAATGTGCATGTATGACAGAGATGTACTGTATATGTTTAAACAAAGAGTATTTAACAAGAATTGCAGTTCTGCTCTGACAAGTTTACAGTCTAATCCATCTAATCACTTAAATGGTGACTATAAATGCTGCAGACTAGCTGTAATGCGCCTAATTGCTCTGTCAGGATCTCAACTGCAGAGTCGGTTTGCATCAACTGGAGCTCGTCTCCCAGCTGACTGAGTTGTATTATGGGTGAAATCAGTCGGAGCTTCAGTGCCACTCTCAATCATAAAACGGAGAGTTTTGAAGCTACCAGCATCATGTATCACCTGTTTTTAACTTAACCTGTAAGTGATATGGAAGTGTTCCTTGAGATCATAAAAGTGTAAAGTGGTAGCGTTAGTAATGCAGCACCCCTCATATGCAGTAGTACATGGGATACAAGTATGTTTGTTGATAGCAGTATAAGAGACTAGCTACTACAGCAGGGTTTTGGTATATCCGTATTATGAGCACAGTGTAAACCGTATTTGATGGAACAGCAGTCTATCCCTGGTAATAGTAATCTGGCATACAACACATGCGGCTGGTAAACTATGGCAGTAGTCTCTATGTGTCAGAGTACTCTGACTAGGGGTACTTGCGGTGTTTGAAGAAAATTAACCCTCCACGGGTAGTCCAGTGATCCTTGGCTGTAGGGTAGAGGTTCCCTCCGTCTGCAGATATCTCGTAGGTTTCGTCCCAGGGGAGATAGCAGGGCGCACACTCGTTTAGTGGAACGCCGCTGCTATGCTCTTCCCCTGTATAAATAGGGCAGCCCTGATTGGACAGGGCTGTCGGCGTCTGACGGCCGTTGCGTTCCACTGTGGAACGCAAGCCGCGCGTCTTGCTATGGGACACGTCGGCGCTGCGTTCCAGGGTGGAACGCAACACGCCAAATCCATTACACTAGCTGCTTGTAAACACAGAAGAGTTTCTTACTGCTTATTAAGCTTTGATGGAGAAGTCAGCCTCTCAATGCAGCCCGATTGACGTGCTCTGATTTTCTTTGTTTTTACAATTCTGCCTCTCATCTGCATTATCCAAGATCGAATGTTGTTGATGTACCTGTTTGGTTGAGAGCTGGTTTATTTGTCTGTTAGGTGGGGTAAGTGCAAATCTCGCACTGCCTGAGGCACAAGGGTTCTAACAAAGAATTTCACTCTCTCTAGCAAAAGCGCAAGCTGAGGATATATATTTCTAACACCTACACTCCAGGGAAACCTGATGGAGAGGAAGCGGAGAGAATCAGTTCCTGGGAGCTGCGGGTTGAAGGGAAACTGCTGGATGATGTGAGTAAGATTGTACTTTTGTAATGATTGTGACACAGTAAGATACACTCGGGCCACATTCCTAGGGGAGCAAAAGACAGATTTTTGCTTCACAATAGTCAAGCTTTCCAAATGTCTTGCAAAGAAAATACATGTTCTTTACATGAATAATAGCAAATGGTCTAGAAAACTCCATGCGTTGGTGGTGCTTCACGTTGACGTCTTCTACATTTGGCAGGCTTGGCAACTTGTAAAGCTTACCAAATACCTTCATTCAGGTCAATAGACTTCATAGTCAAGTTAATTCAAGTTAAAAGAGAATTATGGGGTGAATGAAAAACATTCTTCCCCATAATTCAAGCCAACCTGTGACAATGAAGCTGTCACAGGTCGGCTCTATTGATCGGGAAGTCAGCAAACACACACCGCAGATCGCTGACTTCCTGATCCTCTCCCTGCAGAGAGCGTTGACTGTGAGTCACCGCTCCCCACGTGGATTCCCCCTCCACTCTCCAAGCTGGGTGGATTTTTCCACAGCATTGTCGGGATATGTCCCGGCTGCAGCGCTCTCCGGGCAATAGCCCGCTATATACTTAGTTTTGGGTCATGGGAGGAAGTTAGTATATGTCCTCCCGTGACCCCGCAGAGAGCTATGGGGAAAAAAGTTTATCCCATAGTTCTCTTTTAATTAACTCCATAATCTAAAATATTCTAAGAAGATTGGCACACCCTTGTGTGGCGCCATGGCAAGGCACACAAAACATTGGTGTTGTTAGCGCTTCAAAAGGACTCTCTAATGCCAGTAAAATGCAAACTAATGCTATAGGGGGTTCAGAGTCTTATTACTCTATGCACCCATGAACAATTTATGCAGGGCTTTACATACTGTACATTCACATCAGTCCCTGCCCTCAAGTGGCTTACAATCTAAGGTCTTTACCTCAAATGCATACATACACTAGGGCTGATTTAGACAGCAGAGAATTACCCTACCAACATGTCTTTGGAGTGTGGGAGGAAGCACATACATGCAGATAGCGTCTTGACCAGAATTTAGAACCGGGGACACCTAGTGCTGTAAGGCAGAAATGCTAACCACTAACCCACTGCCCCAACCTAACCTTAGAATGTTTGTGAATAAGATATAAACAACCACAGGAACTAGCCGTATCCAAAATCCTCTTCCATTAGACCAGCTGTATGTTAAGATAATTAGTGTCAGGTTTTTGTGGGCTGTAACTTGTCACCATTTTAGCTTATGAAAGAGTCTCTTATGAATAGGACACATCAATAAAGCCTGCACAGCATAATAAGAATGCATATGAACAATACAAGTAGTAATGAGAGGGAAGATTACCCTAAGGGTCTGATTTATAAAAAGGAGTATGGCCTGACATGTCATGCACATGCTAATGAATGGAGGAAAAAGTGCTGGGAGGAGGACCCCATTCACATGACTGACATGACTTCATAAATAAAATGTAAAATATCCTCCTATCCCTTACTTTATATAGCGTACAAGGTTTACAACCAAGAGAGCTGAGTGATATTTACATCTATGGCTATAGTAACCGGGAATGTTACTGAATACATTATTAATTACCTGATTTACTCTAAACCCAATATACTTTTCCTTCCTGCTCGAAAATTGAAACCTTCAGAGGCAATGTGCTTTTCTTGTATTTATCACAAAGCTCATTAAAATTAGAGTCACAAGAAGCTAAATGCAGGTGCATAGTGTGTATTCATTAGATCAATGTCTTGCAAAGAAAAGATGCCACTCTCCCTTTTAATTACGGTTTGTAATTGTCTAAACTTCCCACAAACCGCATTAGTTTAAAAAAAAAACATTCATTTTATTCACATCAAGCCATTTTGAGCATATTTGGTTTGGTGGGATCAGAATCACATGCTCCACAAGGCAACCTAGACAGGAGCACAGGGCACACTGGATGCCCAGGGGATCAGGCTACAACTGTAATCAGGTAGATAGCACAATTGGTCATAGCTGTCGCCCTTCCTTTCACTTTACAGGGGAGGATGTATTTGTAGGCAGTTGGAAGGGGAAGGGCCATGCCAGTACAGACATGGCAAGTGAGGAAGCATATCTGTGCATATTGCAATCTTCAACATTGTCAATGAAAGGGATGGGAAGCTGCTACCCTTACTATGGCCCTATTCTGCCTGAATCAGTCTCTGAGTGGGATGAGCAGGTAACAGCAGGTTACATAGGTTGGCAGAAGAAACGTTGATTTAGTATGACGCTATAACAACCATCTTGTTCCTTTTATTTTCACAGCCCAGTAAGCAGAAGAGGAAGTTCTCGTCATTTTTTAAAAGCCTTGTTATCGAGCTGGATAAAGATCTGTATGGGCCAGACAACCACCTTGTGGAGGTAAGTAAAACAAAAGCTGGGAGAAGTCCCGTTCTTAAATCAAAGCATTTTGTTTAACCCTTTCATGACCAGCTTTTGAAGCTTATCTGCCCAGACCAAATTAAGCAACATGAGTATGTGTCGGTAAACTTGACAATAACACTAACTGGCTAATTTTTCAGATTGAAAATTGGGCCTGAGAAATGGGAATATACGCACCATTATGCATTCCTAACTATTTACTGCAAGGTATTAAGGGGTATTGTTAATTAAGGGGCATCGATCGTGCATCCAGGGATAGTTATTGATTCCTAACCACATGTAATCGAATGATATATGATTGCATGTGGTGTGCCGCCGTTCTGTCACTAGATCATTAACTTGAATGGGTGACAGCTGCCACTTGTAAATGGCAGATAGGGATTCCTGCTGCAGGAAATCGTAAGTTCATGAAGCAGGAATCTCTAATCGCACCTAAAATCTAGGTGTGAATGGAGCATAATGGTTTTATGTGGGTAGTGCTAAACAGCAGTTTCAATGTGCTCTGGGTTTGTTTTGTTGGACTGTGGTGTGTGTCTTTAACTTGTCAATTGTGTGAAAGTATTATATTTACCCTCAAAATGGCTTTTTTTAATTGCACAAGTAAAAAATAAATTGTTACAAACGCCTCTCCCTCCAGTGGCACAGAATGGCAAGCACTCAGGAGACAGATGGATTCCAGGTGAAGAGACCAGGGGATATGAATGTGAAGTGCACCTTACTTCTCATGCTGGACCACCAGGTAAGTGCACAGGGAGGCTGAGATTTTAAAGTGCAAAGATCAAAATTTTAAAAAAAGTTGTAATAACCAGTCAGGTATCCTATGCCATGGATAGGCAACCTCAACACTCTTGGTGAGTTGAAACTACAAGTCCCAGGTATTGCAAGGCTTACAGCCACAGGCATGACTCCCTAAGGAATGATGGAAATTGTAGTATCACCACAGTTGGCATGCCGAGGTTGCCTACCCTTGTCCTATGCCATTTGTTTCTGGCACAGGTTACAAACTACTGTGTAACTTCAGACATTTTTTTTTCATTTTGGACATGGTTGGGAAGAATTAGAATGTCGGTATTTATTCGTTTTTGAGATTTCTCTACATCTCTGTCATTGTCACTCGGACGAGAAGATATTTTGAAACAATGAAAAGCTGATGGGAGCTTCCCGACCCTACTAAAATAGTATTTTTATTGTTGTTTGTCACACTGTTGTAGATTTTCACTGCCTGTCCTGGTGAATCAGGAGGTAAGGGGAATCTCTCCAATAGGGCCACAGGAAGCAGTGAAAATTGCATGGATAGAACCCTTCCCTATATTTTCCCAAGTGAAAAAAAGAAGACCGTGTCATTTAGCTTGCTGGTAACCATGCAAGTTAGGTAGAGATGTACTTTAAATAAACTGCGTGCTTGCCTCTTATATTTATAATGAGAAGGTATTTTATGCTAGGAGAACAAGTTGCATAAAACTGATTGTCCATGTAGTGTGTTGCTAAGATAGGGTATGTAATCTGAATACAATCAGTTCCTTAATAATGCCTTCTATTGTGCATTGGCAGCCTCCCCAGTATAAATTGGACACTCGCCTGGCTCGGCTCTTGGGTGTTCACACTCAGACCCGTGCCAACATCATGCAAGCTCTGTGGCTTTACATCAAGAATAACAAGCTTCAGGACAGCCATGAGAAGGAGTACATCAACTGTAACCGATACTTCAGGCAGGTAAGAAACACAAGAACCTGCAGAAGAAGTGGTGATTCTTCATTTGTTATGGGATGACAAGCACTAGCATGCATGCTCGGCCTTCTTGTGCATCCATCACCAAAGCTAACACACCTGTGTGTACCTATGCATTTGTCACACCTCTTGACATTTCATGGTCTTCTGTTACCTTCATGAAGGTCATGATTCATTGTATCTCGAGGTACATACTTTATAAATACTGTGTGCGAGTCTGTGTATAGATATAGATCATGGTTTCGCTTTGGAACTTTAGTTAGATGGAGATAAATACACGCACGTACTGAGTTTGTTACGTTTTGGGGGTTTTCTATTTTGGGTACTTGCTCACCTATTCTCTTACAAACACAGATCTTTAACTGCATCCGGATGAGGTTCTCTGAAATCCCCATGAAACTGGCAAGTCTCTTGCAGCACCCGGATCCTATAATAATTAACCATAACATCAGGTGAGTAAGGACCACTTCAGGGAAAGAACTGCAAGCTAGTTTGTGGCAAAGTAATAAAAATGCTCACTAATATGTACAAATATAGGACCTTATCAGAAATGAGCATCTTTAACACTAGTATGATGATAACTGAGGCTTTCCCACATACAGCTATTCCACATTTTGGGCCTGAAAATTACTTAAAACCCCCAAACATTATATATTTTCTGAAAGCCAAGACCCTGTAGAATACAATGTTGGCAGTTGCAATTTTTTATGTTGCACGATATTAGCGCAACTCCTTATCAAACCCCCAAATGTAGTGTAAAATGCACTTAAATGCCCCAAAACACAATAAAATACCAATTGTTAAAATCAAATATAACAGAGGAGGTTACAACGAGTAAATCGATACCCAACATGCCCAGGTTAAAAATTGTGTGCGTCCGTGAAACGGCAACAAGCTTCAGTACCCCAAAAAGTCCATAGATGACACTTTAAAAGCCCTCACAGGTCATCAGTTTAGAGATACCCCAAAATACTGGCCCTAGAATTATTGCCCTCACTCTGGCGTGCGCGGCGATACCCAACATGTTTAGCGCGATCGTCGTAAAGTCGGCTTTACAAGTTTAAACGGCCCCGATGCCAGTGACGTACACTGAAAGTCGCTGGTCATGAAGGGGTTAATGTATCCATACCCAACAGCATATGCTGGATCTTCCTTTTGCTGCCTCACTGTTCTGTTCAGTCGACCCGGAAGCAAGGAAAACCCTGTTTAACCTGTGAGCTGCTACAGTGGTAGCTTGCACAGGGCTATGGACTCCCCATGTTGCAGCACTGATTGGACAAGCTCTGTCACATGGATGGAGTATTTCCATCAGATCCTAGCACTGTACAGAGTGGGGAAGAAACCCCATTTAAAAAACTGTAAATCCCCCCCCCCAAAAAAAAAACACGGGGGAGAAAAAACAGGCTGTTAACTGTACTTTCCACCCTGGTTATTTGCATAGGCAAGAGTGATGTCAGTGGACCTTTTGACAGGATCCTAGGAAATCTAAGGATTCGAATCTTGCAAGACTGTGGTCCTGCGGAGTGCTGGTGCAACTTTAAATTAAATATGTCGCTCATCTATATCAAGACAACTTTTTTTTAAGTGCAATGCCACAAATAGCTGGCATATTCTTTCCTCTAAATATAGCCGCTAAACCAAAGCGTAGGTAACCTGCATTATTAAATATCTGTAAAAAAATAAGTCAAGGCAACTGGTCTTGCTGTATTTTTCTTGAAGCCGTTTCACTGGTCATCCAACCAGTTGGATGACCAGTGAAACGGCTTTAAGAAAAAATACAGCAAGTCCAGTTGCCTTGACTTATTTTTTACAGATATACCATGACCTGGATGAATGAGAACCTTCACAGACATACTGCATTATTAAAGCTCTGGCATGTTCTGCAGTTAGTGTGTTGGGGGACATTGGGTGAATTACATGTAACCTAGTTAGGGGCTTGTTGAATTTTAATAGCACTTCTGCTGGTGCCTTCAAGTAGTAAGTAACAGTTCCAAAATACGCTAAAACCTTTTCTACTAGAAGAACCAATCACAGGGTCTGGCTCACCTACCTTCCCCTTTACAGCATTGTGTTTATTACAAAAGTACAGCTGTGCTTTAATTGAACACTATTGAGTGCTATAGAAGAACATACAAAGAGAACTGTGAAAGGAAGTCGATACTACATATCCTGCCCTCATTTTATAAGACAGATGTCTCATTCCCATAGAGATTATGGGCTGCAGTGCCTTCTGTTTAAGGAATCATATACTGTATAGTCGTACAGAGGAATTTGCCTATTTCCAGAATGTTTTCTAGACACCCAACTGCAATCCACATAAACCCCCTACACATAGAAAAGAGATTTAACAGATTAATCAGCTTCAGATTGGTAGATGGAGGAAAAACACCAGAGTGCTGCTTGCTAAACAACAGGAAGCATATGTGATTTTAAAGAAGTGAAACTTCATACTTAAAATTCAACACGGCTTCCTCTGAAAGGCAACATATGCTCAGCCTAGCACAGCATTGATTTGTACTAAAATGACTTCCCTTTAGGATGATCCAAATCTGATTTGTGTAGCTACAGTTCTGACAGGTTATAATATACCTGGGGGCTGTCACTTATATGGTGTGCATCATATCCACTGTGTGCCTTCATTTGTTTTGGGTTTTTACACCCTTAAAGGGAAATCTTAGTTCATATCGTTTACATTTTGTAATGTATATGTTGTGAAGATGGAACTTTTATTTAAAAAAAAAAAAAAAGTGTTTTTAGATACATGGGTGAAGAAAACCAGCTTAAAAGGTTGAACTACATGTAGTCCATCAAAGAAGAGTCAAATCCATGAACTCTCCTAAGGATCCATTTGCTTGGAACCCCTTCAACCAGAGATGGTACCAGATCAGGAGGCATTCGGTACAATTAACCAGATAATTATTGTGCACACCGGAAAAAATCATGTAACCCCCCTCCTTATCTTTTCCTCTCTCCCTCTCATCTCTTCTTTTTGTTCCCCCTTTCGCTCTTTCACCTATCTCCTTCTCTCTGATCTGCCTCTCTCACTCATCTCCCTCTCTCTCTTATCTCTTCTCTCTCATCTCCCTCTCATCTTCTTTCTCATCTGCTTCTCTCACTTATCTCCTCTCTGATATGCCTCTATCGCTCATCCTCTCTCTCTTTCTCTCTCTTTCTCTTCTCCTATCTCTCTCTTTCTCTTCTCCTATCTCTCTCTTTCTCTTCTCCTATCTCTCTCTTTCTCTTCTCCTATCTCTCTCTCTCTCTTCTCATATCTCTCTCTCTTCTCCTATCTGCCTCTCTCTCTCTTTCTCTCTCTTTCTCTCCTATCTGCCTCTCTCTCTCTTTATGGTACCAGATCAGGAGGCATTCGGTACAATTAACCAGATAATTATTGTGCACACCGGAAAAAATCATGTAACCCCCCTCCTTATCTTTTCCTCTCTCCCTCTCATCTCTTCTTTTTGTTCCCCCTTTCGCTCTTTCACCTATCTCCTTCTCTCTGATCTGCCTCTCTCACTCATCTCCCTCTCTCTCTTATCTCTTCTCTCTCATCTCCCTCTCATCTTCTTTCTCATCTGCTTCTCTCACTTATCTCCTCTCTGATATGCCTCTATCGCTCATCCTCTCTCTCTTTCTCTCTCTTTCTCTTCTCCTATCTCTCTCTTTCTCTTCTCCTATCTCTCTCTTTCTCTTCTCCTATCTCTCTCTCTCTCTTCTCATATCTCTCTCTCTTCTCCTATCTGCCTCTCTCTCTCTTTCTCTCTCTTTCTCTCCTATCTGCCTCTCTCTCTCTTTCTCTCCTATCTGCCTCTCTCTCTCTCTTCTCCTATCTGCCTCTCTCTCTCTTCTCCTATCTGCCTCTCTCTCTCTCTCATCTCTCTTTCCCTCACTCTCTCGCACTTGCCTCTCTCCCTTTCTCCTCTCTAATCTGCCTCATGCATATCTCTCTCTCGTCTTCTCTCTGTTCTCCCTCTCTCTCTCTCTCTTATCTCCTCTCTAATCTGCCTCTCTCACTCATCTCTCTCTCTCATCTGCCTCTCTCTCTCTTTTCTCTCTTATCTCTCATCTGCCTCATGTATCTCCCTCCCTCTCCCTTCACTGTGAGTTGTACAGCCACCCTCGAAACTACACTTTACAATCTAGTTCTTATAGTTAGCCTTTTTCTTCTAGGGGAACATACCATTCCTTCTATAAATAAAAACCATTGTATTGCCGCCTCTTTACGTTATATTGTTCACAGATGTTTTGTTGCTGACTCGATTTGATTTGGGATTTTATAAAGAATAATAAAATCGTCCACATTGTTATTAGGTCTTATTAAAAGTCACATGAGAAATGAAAACCCTAATGAAAAATCCACAGCCATATCCTCACACACTGGAATGAGACAGAGGTTTGAAGCAGTCCATCTGCTTCTGCTGGCTTGAAAAGTTCTGACGTTTGGACAAAATGGCTCTAGGCCTGGCTGTCACGCTTTTTTATTTTTTTTTCTGAGTCGAGAGCAGGGAACAAATCTGACTCTTAATGGCTACAAGCATGCTTCGGGCCTGGGGCTCCGTATATACCAAACACAAAGGATTATCTTGACTGCCAGCCAGATATAGGTCAACAGGTCAGGTTTCAGAGGTCAGTAATTCCTTATCTCCATACTCATTTCAGGTCAGTGATTTGAGAAAGTTTTAAAGGCAAAGCATCAGCATCACAATCAGGCAACTAGCATTTTCAGAAGGGGAACTAACAACGGCAGCCTACCTATTTATTTCCTGACCGGTTTCTGTTAATGTATTTGAATATCAGAAGCCTCTGTACACAATCACCCACCCAAAACTGAACTCAGAGTGTATTGACTGATTAGGATCCTTAATAGTGTCACTAGTAGTTATTCTATATAGATCGGCTTGATTTCTAAAAAATTTTTTAACCCTTTTGGCTTAGTGTGGATCCCAACGATCAGAAGAAGACGGCATGTTATGACATTGATGTTGAGGTGGATGACCCTTTAAAGGGCCAAATGAGCAACTTTCTTGCATCAACTACCAACCAACAGGAGATCGCCAACCTGGATGTTAAGGTTAGATTTGCCTCACTCTGCTAATTTTGTTAAACTATATCAGCTTTTTTAAAAGGTGAATTAAGTTGCCCTCGGGCAAGACAAAAGTTCAAAACTGAGATTGTTTTCTTTACAGATTTTAATTAGAATTCCCTCCTAGGTTATTCTTGCAATTGGCATGTGACACAGCAAAGGAATTTGTCATTGCCGGTGTGTTTGCATTTATTATATCATCCACACCTCTCCAAAATCTGCAGGCCCTCTAAAATGTTTTCTGCTGCTTCTCTTTTCATAGTTTCTGCACAATGCAAAGAAAGTACTT